TTTATATCCCCATACCATATGAGCTCAGGGCGCTCGCCCTTGGGCCAGTGTTGTGGTACATTTAGCACGCACGGCGTTTTAAATTGGGTTCCCGTAGCGTAAGCAAGCTTACGCAACACGAGAGTACTCTCGTAAGAGAACGTCTCGGTTACTAACGTAACCTCGGTTCTCTGTAGAAGAGGGAACGAGTGTTGCGTAACCCTGCCGTGCTTGTGGTACCATCTGGTTTCGCTTCAGTCGATGAAAACCAAGGAGCATCCTATGGCTTATGGGCGTAGCTTATGCCTATATTTGCGCGGGACGTGACGACTGAGGGTGCCAGCGCCCTCATTAGTGCTTACGTCACGAGCAGTCCCTCGATAGGTTGCAGCAGTTGCCGCACAGCAGCCAATAGGCGCGCGAGCTGCCTCGCCTAGGGCTGCTAGCTGCAGCAAGTGCGTTTTAAATTAATACAAATTATAAGGATAATTTTTGGCTTCAGTATTCTCGAGAAAAGAGGTTTTCCCTCTAAGGTTTTTTTCCATAGTCAACTAGCTAGCTAGTTATTAGTTATCTAACATTAACATTAAAAAACATTTTCTATTTAATGAGAAAGTCATACGAACCTCAGTGTTAACCTGTCACCTCTGACCTTCAACAGCTGTCACAGCTCCTGGTGCAGATGGGATGTGTTGCAGGAACTGATTTGCTATAGGCTACTCCTGACTGGTCGAAATCTCATGCTACTTAGGACAAATGTAATGTACAGAAGTAGCTGCACTGCTTAAATACAAAATTAAAGTGTTTGAACGAAAAGATAAGTAAAGTTAATTAATAAGTAAATTTTTATGTGAAATGTGCATATTTACACCCAATTGTCATGGTATGGGGAAATTTCTTTTTTAAAACTTGAAACCAATTCCTTGACCCCAAAAATGTACACTTTGACACCAAATTTGTCATTATAGCGATAACAGAAGCAAAGATATGGGCTCTAGAGTATTTTCTACGCATTAGCGGCATTTGGCATTTTTGAAAAAACATGTTTATTTCTGATACAAAGTGTGATTTCACTTGTGTCTTAGGATACATTTATTTGTATGACCCTAAGGTACTTCCATACCAAAGGCGACCTTTGCATCATGACTTGAAGTCAAAGGCCTATTTTTTGGGCTTAACCTCCTTACTACTTGTGGATATGGAAAAAAAAAAAATACTAGACTTTTTTTTTTACATTTTGGTGATATTAACTTTTCTTAAATTAGAATAAGCAGTAAGCACCAACCAATGAGAGTGATTTTGAACTTAAGAAAGCTGATCAAAAATATATTTGTTGAGAGCCAAAAGCAAAACATAACGTCCTGGTTGCGTATGCAACCCACCGTTCCTTGAAGGAGGGAGCGGAGGACGTAGTCGAAGCCAATCGTCTTTGAGTCTAGGAAGCCAATCGTCTTCGAGTACTATTGAACGAGCCAATGGAATTGGCATGCGTGATGACATCACACACTCCGCCCTCGCAGAGCGGGTATAAATAAGGAAGTGGATGCACGCACTAGTTGCTTTTTCGCTGAGGAGCCGAGCGTAACTCGGAGTCAGCAGTGGTCCAGCGGTAGTGGCAAATATGTTCCCACCGTTCCCTCCTTCAGGGAACGGTGGGTTGCATACGCAGAGCCGGACAGTAACGGAGTACATTTACTTGAGTACAGTACTTAAGTACAATTTTGAGGGATCTGTACTTTACTCGAGTATCATTTTTGGGGAGTACTCATGACTTTACTCAAGTACATTTGAGAGGCAAATATTGTACTCTTTACTCCAATACATTTCTATCCATAACCGTGAGTACCCGAGTAAAAAAATAAATAAAAAAATCTCGGAAACCCTCAATTTGTTGTTTCCCTCTCAAACGTGATTGGATTGTGCAGGCGCCACTGATTGGGACAGCCTATCAGCAATCACTTTCAGCTTTCCGCCAAAGTCAACTCCATGGTCAGATTTTATATTACACATTTATGTAAGCCAAGCATTTGGTTTGATGTTCTTGAGTATGTGGTGTGTTTAACACAGTCAGGTTCAAATGTGGCAGTGGCGTAGCCACGAGGGATTTCTGATTTCTTAAAAAAAAACTTTAGGAGGCAAAATATATTTTTACTGATTATGTGAATTACACTGCGCAAACCAAAGTAGGCTACTACCCAGCAAATGAAGAAGGGTTGGCGCTCAGTCTCCACAGAACATAAAATATTAATTTTGTTTTATTTTATTTTTCGGGTTTGCATTTATGAGGAAAAAACAATGTTATGGACGTGTTCTCCGTTACGGACGTGAGCGCTCTGAAAGCGGCATAAAAAATGCTTTAAAAGTTTCACAGAGACATCAAACAGAAAACACAAAACCTTTCTTTAACCTGAATTTCGTTTTGCATTAATTGTATCTTAATTTTAATCAATGTTTCATCAACCAATTGCCTGGGTTTAATAAATAAGAAGTAAATAGCAGACGATAGATAAGAAATGGAGGCGCCGGCACGTGAACTGGATCTCGTCTCATAAATGAACCGAAATGCCTCTCACAGATATGTCTACTTTTAAACAGAAAAATTCAAAACGAAAGAAAACAGACTACAGACTGCTCTCTGCTTATGTGATCCGTATGAAATGTGCATTTCTCTCTGGCGCGGTCACTACTGAATATCGCGAGTCAGCATCGTCAACTTCATCTAGCCGACACTGACAAAGAAAACACTTGTTTATTAACAAGTGTTTATTAATAAACAATTAAAATATCTCCTTGCTATATTTTACATATTCATAATCATTCCTTTTGCCGGTTCTTTGTGACAGCTTTTAGGTGTTTTATTGGCAGCGCCACCCTTACATGTGGTGTGTGTGTGTGTGTGTGTGTGTGTTGTCCCCGCATTTAAAGATGGGACCCCCCAAAAATTTAATTAAATTAAATAAAGCAACATGGTAAAAAGATGAAAATGACTTGATTTTACTTTCAATTCCTTTTACATTCTCCAAGGTATTAACATTAAAATTTTTCATAACTCCATGTAGGCCGTTTCTGTGCATAAATGTAAGCACTGTGGCAGTAGATTACTAATGCAATATTTAGAAAATTTACTCTTGTACTCCTGATACTCAAGTACTTTTAAAAACAAGTACTTTAGTACTTTTACTTAAGTAGACATCTGACTGTAGTACTTTTACTTGTACTTGAGTAAAATTTAGCAAGGGGTATCTGTACTTTTACTCAAGTAACAAAGCTCTGTACTCTGTCCGCCTCTGTGCATACGCAACCAGGACGTTCCCTTTCAGTCGAGAACGTCAGACGTAGTTGACGTCGACTGAATGGGGATCAACCATTGAACACACCACTAAAGCTGCCACCTTCCAGTGCCTAGACAAAAGCCTCCTGATTCCCCCCAATTTAAGGCTGAGAAGGGACAGGGCTTAGGCCAGGGAAGTCACTTCTGTTCCTACAGGCTCACAGGGAAAGCGTTCACTGTACATGGAAGGAAGGGACGCTGCGGAAGCCACATTCTGCCCGAAGGGAGGTAACGTGGAGAATACACATATGAACTGGGCGGAGACTGGGCAGTACAACATATGGAAGGTCACTGGGGTGGCTCCAGCCTATGACAGGGGGAGACTCAACCGGCCAATGAGGGAAGACATGGGCTCACCGTAGGGAGCCGTACCATGGAAGAATATGCTTTCTCCCCCAAGCTTAAGGACGAGTTAGCATTCCGAGACCCCTCTCCTGATCTGGGGTCCCTCATTGATGTGGCCATCCGAGTCGACCATCGCCCCAGAGAACGCCAGCCGGAACGAGAGCGGGAGACCAGCTTACTTGAGGCCGCCAATCCTGTTCAATTGTCTCTTCCCCCTGGTGACCTAGAGGAGCCTATGCAGCTGGGGGGAACCCGGATATCCTAGACCGAACACAATCGAGGGTTAGAGAGAGATGCTTCCTCTACTGTGGCAAGCCAGGCCATTTTCGCATGGACTCTCCTGAGCTGTCGGGAAAAGTCAAGTCTCGTCCTGGAGTAGGGAGGCCGGGGCGAGAATAGGAATCATCCCCTGCTCTGCTACCTCTGGCTTAACGATCCAGGCCACTATCACCCAACTTCTTACAATTATGAAAACATGATGCTGCTTTCCGTTCCATCCCTTCAAAGTGGTCGACGATTCTCTTTCAGCAATTGTTAAAAGTGCATGCTATCACTATTATCTACAATATTTCATACTTCTGACTGCAATGACAGCAATGGATTTTACTATTTGCACTTTTTGGAATCAGTGACTGACAGCTGGAGTTTGACATGTGAGTTCCCAAAATGAGTATGAAAGTCTTTCATATCTCTAAATGTTTTTGTTTTTCAATGTACACAAGCTCCTTTTAATGGGTTTTAACTGATTTGTGTACAGACCTTTTGAAACAGGAGACAATTCATTTGATCCTTTGAAACGTTTTACCAGTTTACCAGTGACGTTGATTAATTATGTAATCATAACTGAAACAATAAAAATGTTCTGTTCTCCTTTCAGCAGAGGGAGCAAAAGAAATTACAAAGTTATAATCTCATAATAAAATACATCATATGTTTTCACCTTATATTGTTTTTCCTTTGCATCATTAATGTTTTAAATATAGAAATATGCAACCAAAAACAATGCTTGTCTCTAAATCACGGCTTGTATACAGACAGCTGGCCTACTCACACTCAACCCCACAAGATCATGCTGGTGAACCAGCTTCACCAGCTCCACCGTTCACCAGCACGAATATGCTGGTCCACCAGTTAAACCACCCTGGACCAGCATGGAATCCATGCTGGTGTGAGCTGGATTTTTCAGCAGGGAAGCTTTTTGCATCAAAGTCATAAAAAGACTGTAAAGCTGCAATCGCTGCCAAATGTTTTGTCAACTAAGCTGGGGTCTGAATACTTATGTCACTGTTTCTTGGATATGCTTGTGCAACAGTCATTGTATCTGTGGGTGTTTGTTATATTGCAGAGTGCACATGAGCGTTGGAGTGACCGGTATCATTTCAGCATGACACAGAAGAGTCTGGCACTGCAGGGCTGGCAGCGGGATCGCTCAGAACTGCTCCTGAGAGGGCTGAGCGTGTTAGAAGACTGCAGGATTTCTCGCATACAGCAGCAAGAACTTCAGCACCAGCGTTCACACCAGCAGAACATCTGCCTCCTGCTCAGAGAAAAGGTTTTTACATTTACCTAAATCTTAAGACACTGCCGCACTAGGTCTTAATTTTTTAACAAGTAATACATCACAAATAATACATTTAGAATGTGAAATTATAACTTAACTTCACTTCTGTGCAACACTTCAAACCTTCAACCTTTGAAGTTTGTGATCTTTGAAATTCAGTCAAGAGGTCAGTCTTTGAAGTTTAGATGAGTCACATGTCTTTTGGAATGGAATGCGTACTCAATGGAATGCGTATCTTCACATTAGCTTATGTTTCCTGTCTCCTGTAAATGGAAGTCAGTGGAGCGCAAAGTTTAGTGTGGCTGTGGTTTTGGTCTTCATGACCTGTGAGGAGTGTTTAAGAATCCTGTTTGGAAATCATTTTGCAATTCCATTTAGTGGATTAGGAACACACAGAGCAGGATTATAGTTTACAGTCTCATTATAGCAGCCCAACATGTCTACATTTCACTAGTCTGTCTCTCTCTTTGACTCTTTCTCGCTCTTGTCCTCTCTATATCTCAGAACTCTATGCTTTTACCTGATGAGTAATTTTCAGTCAATAGTACAGTGAAGTCTACAGTGAAGCCTTGGACTAGTGTGAGAATACTTTGTATTTTAACCCCCGGTTTCATGTTTGAGCTGTTTTAACCCCCTGGGGTCGGTGGTCGCGCCGGCGATACCAACTCGCTTTTTTTCTTATCAGTGCAAAAGAGACTCAAAATACTCTACATATAAGTGTTGTACATCATTAGAACCTGTAAAGTGTCTATTTTTTTGTGGATACTCAAAATAAAAACAAAGTGTTGTGCTTTTCGCCAAATAAAGAAAAAAAAACATGATGCGAGTTCTGCGTTCTCTCTGTCAGTGAAGTTCATTCTGAAATGCGTCAGAAAATGAACTGTAACTCAGCGAATACTCAGTCAAGCAGGAATACAGGCACACAGGCATGAAGCTTGAATTCTCGTCTTTTAAATGACGTAATTTATTCAAAAAACAAACATTCTCAGTTTATGTAATCTGTATGAAAAGAGAGAGATGTCAGTTGTTTTCTTTTCAGCTCATTATAGCTTATTAAGCTTTAATGTGACCACGCCCACTGAGAGCACGCGCTATTCAAACGCAAATAATCTGAGGCAAGCCACGCAAACGTGTGAACCCCCACAACAGCTGGATAAAACACATCAAGTTTAATAAGAATCATTTACTTTACGTCGTCTTGCTACGCTGTGAGGAATAATACTATCTAATAATCCTGGAAAAACTTACCTCAGAAGTGCTAGTAGTTTCATTTCGAGGAGTAACGGATCAAGCTGATGCAAGTTATTTATTCTTAAGTGCTTTGTTCTAATCGCGATATGGAATAGTGTCTATAAACCGCAAAAGACTGTTTAAATATGAATCGCATGTCTGTGTGTGAATGAATGAATGTACGGCACAATTCAATTTGTGTGTTGTTTACCACAGCTGTACATCGTGCGTCTGTGCCGTTCATGTTTGTAGCTGTAGTTTGTTTATTAAGCATGCAGGGAAACCACCCAGTAGAGCATTACAATAATCTAGCCTTGAGGTCATGGACGCATGAACTAATTGTTCCGCATTTGTCAATGAGAGCATATGGCATAATTTAGATATATTTTTAAGATGGGAAAAATGCGGTTTTACAGATACTAGACACGTGACTTTCAAATGAAAGAGTGGTATCAAAGAGCACACCCAGGTTCCTAACTGACGACGAAGACTTAACAGAGCAGCCATCAAGTGTTAGACAGTATTCTAGTTTATTACGTGAGGAAGTTTTTTGTCCAACAATTAGAAACTCTGTTTTTTCAGAATTTAGTAGTAGGAAATTACTAGTCATTCAATTTTTTATATCAGCTATGCATTCCGTTAATTTTGTGAATTGGTAAGTTTCGTTAGGTTTTGAAGAAATATACAGCTGAGTATCATCGGCATAACTAATTCCATGTTTCTTAATGATATCTCCTAATGGTAGCATGTACAGAGTGAACAGCAGCGGTCCTAGTACTGAGCCTTGTGGTACGCCATACTGAACTTGTGATCGATAAGACATCTCTTAATTTACTGCTACAAACTGATAACGGTCAGACAAGTATGATTTAAACCATGCTAGTGCAATTCCACTAATGCCAACATAGTTTTCTAGTCTATTTAAAAGAATATTGTGGTCAATGGTGTCAAATGCAGCACTAAGATCAAGTAACACTAATAGAGAGATAGAACCACGATCGGATGATAAGAGCAAATCATTTGTGACTCTAACGAGAGCAGTCTCAGTACTATGGTACGGTCTAAATCCGGACTGAAAATCCTTGCAGATATCATTTCTTTCAAGAAAGGAACACAGTTGTGAGGATACTGCTTTTTCTAAAATATTTGACAGAAAAGGCAGATTCGAGATCGGCCTGTAATTGACTAATTTTGTATGATCAAGTTGCGTTTTTTTAACAAGCGGTTTAATCATAGCCAGCTTAAAGGTTTTTGGTACGTATCCTAGAGACAAAGACGAATTAATGATATTAAGAAGAGGATCTATGACACCTGGAAGCATCTCTTTCAGTAGCTTAGAAATTAGTCAAATTTTTCCTCAGGGATACTACAATGCACTGCACTCCCTGATGCGATACTGTAGTAGACGGTTGCATAGTTATAATTTTGTCCCTGATATTATCGATCTTATAAGTGAAGAAGTTCATAAAGTCATTACTGCTGTGTTGCTTGGAAACTTCTGGGCTTGAAGCTTTCTTTTTCGTTAGTTTAGCCACTGTTTCAAATAAATACCTAGGATTATGTTTATTTTCTTCTAATAGGGTTGAAAAATAAGCAGATCTAGCAGCTTTTAAGGCCTTTCTGTATGCAATCGAGCTCTCCTTCCATGAAATCCGAAATACCTCTAGTTTAGTTTTCTTTCAGTTGCGCTCCATTTTTCTGGCTGCTCTCTTAAGGGCCCGGGTGTGCTCATTGTCTCATTTTCTTTAATCTTCTTTAAGTGCAACTGAGCAACTGTGTCTAAAGTGCTGGAAAGGAGAGAGTTAAAAGTTTCTGTTGCAATATCAAGTTCTTCTAAGCTATCCGGGATGCTGAGATGATGAAACTGATCAGGAAGATTATTAATAAAGCAATCTTTAGTGGCAGAAGTGATAGGTCTAACATATTTGTAACACGAAGTCGGCTTTGCAGCCTTGGCTAAATGTAATTTACATGAGACTAGATAATGATCTGAGATGTCATCGCTCTGCTGCAGTATTTCAACGGCATCAACATATTCCATGTGATAGTATTAGATCTAGAGTATGATTACGACAATGAGTAAGTCCTGACACGTGTTGTCTAACTCCAATTGAGTTTACAATGTCTTTAAATCCCAAACACAATGCTTCTTTTTCATTATCTACATGTATATTCAAATCACCAACAATTAGTACTTTATCTGCAGCCAATACTAATTCTGATAGAAATTCAGCAAATTCTTTGATAAAATCTTTATGGTGGCCTGTATACAGTAGCCAGCAGAATTCTCAAACGTGATTTATCGTTTATACTATATATTTTTACATTAAGCACCGACACTTCAAAAGAAGTATATTTAAAACTAGATTTCTTAGTGGTTTTGAAAATATTACTATAAATTACAGCAATACCTCCCCCTTTGCCTTTCGGACGAGGCTCATGTTTATAACTGTAATCTTTTGGGGTTGACTCATTTAAAGTAATGTTATCGTTTGGTTTTAGCCAGGTTTCTGTCAAACACAGCACATCTAGGTCATAATCTGAAATCATATCATTAACTATGAGCACTTTTGAAGTAAGGGATCGAATATTCAGCAACCCAAGCTTTATCGTTTGCTCATCTGTATTATATCTGTTTTTTATTTGTTGAACATCAATTAAATTTTTAACCTTAGATGGGTTTGGACGTTTTTTGGATTTCCAAATTCGGGGGAACAGACACAGTCTCTAGTCAAGTTAAGACAAGTCATCTTCATTTATATAGCGCTTTTAACAATGTAGATTGTTTCAAAGCAGCTTTACAGAGATAAACATACAATTTACGGTAACAGAGATTGTTTTGGCTTTATAGCGATTTTTGAATAATGTTATTTCCAGCTAAAATTAGTTTTGATTGATTCTCTTCCAGCAAAGTTATCATTTGTTATCAAATTAGGGGCCACTAAGACGACGGAGTTCTCTCTAAAAAGACTTTAAACGCGAACCTGTGACCTGATGGCGTTCACATGCGCATTAAGAATTGATTCTATAGTTATATTCGTTTGAATATATGTGCGCAGGTTTGTAATTTCCCTAAAAACCATGCCTAAACAAACTACTTGTCTTGCCTATACATTAGATAAAGAATTTTGTTTTATTTGATCACTTCGGGGTACGCAAACCGGATTTTCAACAACGCTTTATCTGTAGAGTGGGAAAGGGATCCTCCATAGGAAGAGGATAGTTGACACTTCAGCACTGCATTGTCATCGGGTCCAGGCGAAGCTCCTTCGTCAGATCTGGATACGGCCTGGATCCGGCAGGCTGCGGGAAAACCTCGGGATAAACAAAGACACTAAAGTTAGCGTAGATGCCATTCTTCTTATGATGTAACGAGTACATCTGGATTAAAGGGAAGTTTTCCCAGTTCCGGCTGACCTAATCTATGCAGCCTAACATTGAATTATAGAAGTCTATAATGTATTATGTGTATGCTAGGTCAAAGAGATGTGTTTTTAGTCTAGATTTGAACTGACAGAGTGTGTCTGCTTCCCGGACAATGGTAGGAAGACTGTTCCAAAGTTTTGGTGCTAAATAGGAAAAGGATCTACCGCCAGCAGTCGATTTTGATATTCTAGGTATTATCAACTGGCCGGAATTTTGAGATCGCAATAGACGTGAAGGACTATAATGCTTTAAAAGCTCGCTCAAGTACTGCGGAGCTAAACCATTTAGGGCTTTGTAAGTAATCAACAATATTTAAAAATTTATACGATGTTTAA